GGGGGGGGGGAGGTGATCACTTGAGATCAGGAGTTTGAGACCAGCCTGGCCATATGGCAAAACCTCGTCCCTACTAAAAATACAAAAATTAGCTGATGGCTGGCTTAAAAAAGGAAAAAAAAATTAACCAGGCATGGTGGCGGGTGCCTGTAGTCCCAACTACTCAGCAGGCTGAGGCAGGAGAATCACCTGAACCCAGAAGGAGGTTGCAGTGAGCCAAGATTGTTCCACTGCACTCTAGCCTGGACAACACAGCAAGACTCCATCTCAAAAAAAAAAAAAAAAGACAAAAGGAAAACTACAGTAAATACATAAACCAGTAACACAGTCATTTATTGGCCGGGCATGGTAGCTCACACCGGTAATCCCAGCACTTTGGGAGGCTGAGCAGGGTGGATCATGAGATCAGGAGTTCAAGACTAGCCTGGCCAACATGGTGAAACCCCATCTCTACTAAAAAAAATTTTTTAAATTAGCTAGACGGGGTGGCATGTGCCTGTAATCCCAGCTACTTGGGAGGCTGAGGCAGGAGAATCACTTAAACCCAGGAGGCAGAGGTTGCAGTGAGCCAAGATCGTGCCATTGCACTCCAGCCTGGGAGACAGAATGAGACTCCATCTCAAAAAAAAGAAAAGAAAAAAAAGTACAGTCATTTATTATCAAGTATTATATACAGATGTGGAGGACAGTACAGAATTACTATCTTCCACATCTTGTCCTATTGTAGGGTCTTCCGGGGCAAAAGAACCAACTAAATGTTTTTAACTTTTAACTAACTCTTGTAATAACACTTAGCTTAAAACACAAACATATTTGGTAGAGCTGTACCAAAAACAAATTTTTTTTTTTTTTGAGACGGAGTTTCGCTCTTGTTACCCAGGCTGGAGTGCAATGGCCCGATCTCTGCTCACCGCAACCTCCGCCTCCTGGGTTCAGGCAATTCTCCTGCTTCAGCCTCCTGAGTAGCTGGGATACAGGCACATGCCACCATGTCCAGCTAATTTTTTGTAGTTTTAGTAGAGACGGGGTTTCACCATGTTGACCAGGATGGTCTTGATCTCTTGACGTCGTGATCCACCTGCCTCGGCCTCCCAAAGTGCTGGGATTACAGGCATGAGCCACCACGCCTGGGCACAAAAATTTTTTTTTGAGGTCAGAAGTTTGAGTCCAGCCTGGCCAACATGGTGAAACTCTGTCTCTACTAATAATACAAAATTAGCTGGCCATGGTGGCACACGCCTGTAATCCCAGCTACTCGGGAGGCTGAGGCATAGAAGAAAGAACAAGACACTGTCTCTGTCCTTCAAAAGAACATACAGGATAAATGACATATGGGCTTTGCTTTCAAATGGTCCACGAAGCCTGGGCAACAGAGCAAGACTCCATCTCAGAAAAAAAGAGGTCCACCAAGCTGAACACAGTGGTTCATCTTTGTAATCCCAGGACTTTGGGGACCAAGGCAGGAGGATGACTTGAGCCCGGGAATTCAAGACTAGTCTGGACAACACAGTGAGCCCCCATCTCTACAAAAAAAACTTTTTTAATTAGCCAGGGGTGGTGGCACACCTGTAGTCTCAGCTACTCAGGAGGCTGAGGTGGAAGGATCGCTTGAGCCTGGGAGGTTGAGGCAGAGGCTACAGTGAGCCATAATCTGGCCACCATACTACAGCCTGAGTTATAGAGTAAGACCCTGTCTCCAAAAAAGAGAAAAAAAAAAAAAAAGTTGCATCAGAAAAAAAAAAAAAAAAAAGCCAAGGTATGGGAGGAATGAAATAATACTGGCAAATGTTCACTGTTAAATTAAATTTGGATGATGGGGCAGCATAGGGTGGGGTGGTGAAAATATTATTTGTTTATATCTGAAATTTTACATAAGTTTCTAAAATTACATACAAAAACAAATCAAAGACTTGTTGAGTGTGGGGAAGGAGGTTGTATGTATATGTGAAATAAATAGACAGTAGGATAAAGAGAGTCAATCATAGGTGGTCAAGAAATATATCCCAAAGGCAGTGACAAGCAAAGAATTGAGAAGACTGGGAAGGAGAATGGGGGTTGGAAGTGCTGCACAGGGAGGGATTCCAGGAGAACAGTAAGTAAAAAGGCTCTGAGGAAAAGAAAGCCCGTTTACTATGTTGGCCATGCTGATCTCAAATTCCTGATCTCAGTTGATCCACCTGCCTTGGTCTCCCAAAGTGCTAGGATTACAGGTGTGAGCCACCACACCCGGCCAGCTGAAGGATTTTTAAAAGCTGCAAACAGGATCAGAATTTTACTTAGAAAGCTCACTCCAGCTACAGTGTGGAGAACAGATTAGAGGGCAAGACTGAAGGTAAGGAGACCAGTTAGAAGATTGCTACTATGGCCGGGAACAGTGGCACGTGCCTGTAGTCCCAGCTACTTGGGAGGCTGAGGTGGGAGGATGGCTTGAGTCCAGGAATTTTGGGCTGTAGTACACTATGCTGATCGGGTGTCCGCACTAAGTTTGGCATCAATATGGTGACCTCCCAGGAGCGGGGGACCACCAGGTTGCCTAAGCGGGGGTGAACCAGCCTAGGTCAGAAATGGAGCAGGTCAAAACTGCTGTGCTGATCGGTAGTGGGATCATGCCTGTGAATAGCCACTGCACTGCAGCCTGAGCAACAAAGCAAGACCCCATCTCTAAAACAAAAAAATAAAAATAAAAGACTGTTGCTATGATATACTCCAAGCTAGATATGGAGCACTGTACTAGGATAGTTCCATTTTGGAACTACTGAGTTTGCAGTATCTGTGGAAAAGCCAAGTGGGTAGGTGGATGAATCAAACAGTGGATCTGCCCTGCTCTCAAGCTCCAGGTCTATTTACTTACTTTCATTTCTCATCTTGACTAGAAATTCTTTGAGGGAAAGGACCATGTCTTATTTATCTACCTAGAGACGCAGAACAGTACCTAAAACATAACAGATAATAAATGTTTGTTGAACAAAAACCTATGGGGAAGCAGAGGAAACCCTCCATATAATCCCACGTATTGAGGATCCAATACAAAGGACATGAGTAGAAAAAACTTCAAGGCAGGATGTATCTAAAAATGTGGCACAGGAAATATTAAAGGGAGACCCTAGTTTCCCACATTACTCTTAGCTTTTTTACTCAAAATTCGACTAGACTTCAGACATTTATGAAAAATAAGACATTAAGTTCATGTACTTGACTTTGAGGGAGGAGGGGAAATCCTAAAAGAGATGATGAAAGAAAACATACATTTATAGGCAGGACAGATAATATTTCACAAAAACTTATAAAAAATTTTTCTGGGGGGCCAGGCATGGTGGCCCATGCCTGTAAACCCAGCACTTTGGGAAGCCAAGGCAGAAAATCGCCTGAGCTCAGGAGTTTGAGGCCAGCCTGGGCAACACGGGAAAACCCAGTCTCTACCAAAAATAGGTGTGGTGGCACGTGCCTGTGGTCCCAGCTACACAGGAGGCTGAGATGGGAGGATTCCTCGAGCCTGGGAAGTGGAGGTTTCAGTGAGCCAAGATCATGCCACTGCACTCCAACCTGGGTGACAGAGTGAAACCTTGTTTCAAAAAAAAAAAAATCTGAGACTATAGTGAGATAAAGAAAACAGAAAAAATCCCCACTGTAAATATAAGTGATGAAAAACACAATACATTAGAAGATGGGAATTTAGAAGAGAAAATATATAATCAGCTCCAGCCTCTGTAACTGGGCTGAGACAGCAGACAGTTTTGCCACCCTCAACTACGTGGAGTAATGTTAAAGACAGATAGGGTTACCTCTGATAAATCTGGGGCTAAGATTATTGAACCACCCAGCAGGTTGTGACAACCGTCTTCCTGGAAGGAAGCATAAAGCTAGGAAGGTCCCAGGAATGAAGAGTGGACACAGAAGAGCTCGTCTATGTGGGTCTTGAAGCATGGGAAGAATGTGGGGAGGTTTAGTAGGCGAGGAGAGAGGGTAGGAGATTGTTAAAGAAGCAACTATTATGGGCTAGCAATATTATGCCTTCTTAGAATCAGTGCCTTCACTTGGACAAAATGATGGGAGTTCAAGCTAGAATGGAGGCAATGGGAAAGAGCTGGAAAGGAGTGCGCAGATCTGAAAACTACTCAAAGGATAAAATTAACAAGACTTCATAGATTGCTTATGGAGGAGTATAAGGAAGAAAGAGTTTAGAATGATACTTGAGTGTCTATATTCCAGAACTGAATTAATATTAGATTTCATTCTATGGCAGTCCAAAGGCTCCTTAACCCGGCCTAAAACGCTCTGCAAGACCCGGCCACTACCTACCAACCTCACGAGTCTCAACTGTACCCACTCTCTTCCCCTCCACATCTGGGCCCCAGGAACAATGTCCTTCTTTTTGGTTCCTTCCTACCACAGGGCCTTCCCACATGAGCTCTCCTCTGACTGAGCAGCTCCTCCATCTTCTTTCCCTACCCAACCCCTATTCATCCTTAGAGTCCCAGCTTAAACGCCTGTTCCTTTGAAAAATATCTGCCATTCTTCAGATAAGGTTAGAGGCACCCTGACATTCAGTTCTCATGTTGTTTAGCAGCATTTTGTCTATCGCCATCACGTCTGTAACCAGAGCGCCTAGAACAGTATCTAACCCTCAATAAGAGCTCGGTAAATGTGTATTGTTGAATACGTCATTAAGTCAGCAGAAAGAATCCCCAAAACAGACACCCCCAGAGGAAAAAGAGGTGTTAGATTATACAACCAGGGAGTGAACCGGCCTGGAATCTAATCAATTCCTGTGTGCTGACCAATGGCCTAACAACAGAAAAATAAGGCTCATTTTTCCCCTGAAGAAACTCATGGCCTATAAAAGAGATATATGTGTATCTCGTCCGGACTGGATCCCCTTTCTGCCCGCAGCTCTCCTTCTCTCAACATCCCTATCGCACTTGCACTGCACCGTAATCGCGGAGCACAGATGCCGCGTCAACCTCCCCACAGGACCGCGGGCACAAGGGCCACGGACTCACCTGGGCCCCGCCCACCGACCCATGCAACCGCAATAGGCACATGAGCCCGGGCAAATGTGGGGCCGAGCGGTTTGGGGGATGCACCGGAGCAACGGCAGACCCCGTTCGAGGTTGCAGCAAACCGGAAACACTCTCCAGTAGCAGCAGGCGGAGCCGCGGGCCCGAGCTCACTGCCGAGAGACCCCCGGTCCCGCCGGGAACCCCAGCCGCGGAGCCCGCAGTGGGCCCACTAAGAACGGCTGCCGCCATCTTCCCCCGGGCTCCAGTGATGGCGTGGCGCGGCACGATGACGCAAACACACTGCGACGGCCGCCTAGTGGGGAGGGGGAGTGGGGAGGGAGGGGGCTGCGGCCCTGCGCACTAGGTGAAGGCCGGCTGGACTCGCGGGCTCAAGTTGGGAAGGAGCATACGCAAGGAGAGCTGTCCGGGGCCGAGGCAACCGGGCGCTCAGTTCCCAGAGTGGTGGCCGGTGGGCTGGCTGTGAGCTGGTCAGAGGCGGTCCCTTGATGTTTAAGGTACACGTGGTCTGGACAAAAAAGGCACGAGAGTCCGAATGATTTCCATTTAGCGGGCGGAGTCCCAAGACATCTTTGCTATAGGAATCAATAACTCTGTCTCTCTTTTTTTTTTTTTTTTTTTGAGACGGATTTACCAAAGAAATTTAAGTGTTTTTGAATAGC